AGCGGGCAGAGCGGGGGTTGTGGTGGGTTAGCGCTGCTGCTGATGGAAGAAAACAACTGTTGTGCGCGAGGGCGTGCGAGCCCTGTGAGCGCACTTGCGTGATAGCCAAATCAAACTCAACAGGTCTGACGGCCGCACCCCCGCACCCCCGCACAGCCAGCAGACAAGGCGCGCTTTGAGACCCACCGCCTCGCAGCAGTGGGCGCGTGGGTGCATCAGCGCCCCGAGAAGCGAGCGATGGAGCTGAAGCGCAACATCCCTTGGGCCGGCGGCCTGCTGTTGTTGCCGCGCGTGGTGCTTCTTTTTCTGTTCATGGGGTTTGTTCCAGTGTGTGCGTGTGTGGGTGGGGGGTGGGGGTGTTGGTGGAAGCAAGTTTCTGGTAAAAAAAAAAAACGGTATTCGCACAAGTTACGGAATGAAGGAAAGGTTGGTGGGAATTTTTTTTTTCGTGGTTTCAGAAGCGGCGGGCGAAAAGGGAGAGCTCCGAAGTTCAAGGAACCAAAAAAAAAAAAAAAGAGAGAGTATTGTGAAGCGGCAGTTTGCGGGTGTGCCGGTGACGGGTTTTCCGTGCTATTTCTTGCCGCGGTACTTTTCCTTCGCCATGGCGCGTCGGGCAGCAAACGTTTTGTCGGGTACTCCACAGAAGTAACCCCCCAACCGCCTCGTGAAACGTATGCGGTAGCTCGCGGGGTCTATAATTGTGGGGTCGCGCCCGGCGTGCCCGAGCACGGTGTCGATGCCGGCCTTCACCTTGGACTCGATCACCTTTGCGCCGGTGTAGGGGTGGAGGTAGTCAATCACGCCGAGGGAAATCTGGCGGGTTTCCTTGCTGAGTGCGGCGACGAGCGAATAGTCCATGATGGAAGACGTCGCCAGCAGGTGGGCATCGCCCGTCAAACTGTCCATGAGAAGACTTTTCATGTCGTTTGTGCAGTAGAAGAAGGCCCCGTCCCGCAGCGTGCTGGCAAAGTCCTGGTCGAGGAGAACCGACGACCCCCCCACGGCTGTACGGTTTCGTTGGCTTCCTTTCAAGTCGTACGTGACGTCGGCCTGGTGGGAGAAGAAGACGTTTTCCATCAAGGCATAGTAGCGAACTTCGGCAGGCGTTTCCGAAAACCGCTTCGTCTGCTTGACGTGCACTGAAAAGACACCGAAAATCTTAGAGAGCACGCTGCCGCACGGTGGGGCAACGTCATGTTCGCCGTGGCGTTCCAGATTGCCGTACACGCGAGATATGTGGGAGAAGTAATGGGGCCCAAACTCGGCAAAGTGCCTCAGCTCCGCCTGCTTGAGTTGCTTCATGAGGAAGCGCTGGTCTAGCGTGATGAAGAACTCTGAATTGGTCTTTCCACCCTGCGGCTTAAAGGCGCGGGAGCGGGAGAGAGAAACCAACATTTCCTCCACGTGACCTCGCGTGTAGAGGTACTGAAGGGCGGCGAATTTCTCTGGAAACATGACCTCCACCGTCACTGTTGCCGCCCCGGCCTTGTCCCAGGGAAGTATCACGTCCATGACATGCTTAAAGGTCGTCTTCGGCGCGGGGCTGCGATTGGCAAGCAGATCCAAGGCATCACCCACAGACCGAATAAACACACGAGAGGGCTGAAGTTCTGGTGACGGGGAGGGCTCAATGCCGAGCATAACCCCATGGAGTCCTCAAGAAGCACCTGGGTTTGCTCCTCCATCTTGGTGAGAGATGCGCCACCGTCAGCGGTATCGACCACGGTGGCCTCCTGTTCAATAGGCGCGCACTCCCTGGACGCAGGTTGGGTAAACGATCGTAGATCACTTCTCACGAGGCCCGACAGACACTCGCACCGGCTCCCAGGCGACAGGCTTAAGGCTTGCAGCGCCAACGCCACAAGGGAGCTGGGCTCGTTTAAGCGAAGCCCACAGTTTTCCCGCGGGCAATACGCCCAGCTGTAGTCCTCAAACGCGGTGAGTTCTACAAGTGAAGGCGGTCTCCCGCTGCGTCGCTCCGCTAGCAGCGTGCCATGCTTATACCATTCCAGGAATTCCACCATCAGGTCCGCCAACTCGTTAAGGCGCAGAAGCGTTAACGCTTCTCTTGTTTTTAGCAACGGTATGAGCCGGAGAAGCTCCTCCGCCCGTTGCAGGAGCAAGACGCCTTTTTCCGCATCAAACTCTGCGGCTTCCCCCAAGGCGGAACAACACCTACTCAACAGCGAAGCAAGAGATGGTTTAATACTTCTTGACTGAGGTGACTGCAACGACGGAGACGGAGGGGAAGAGGATTTCAGCTGCTGCACCAGCTGTTGCTGTTGTGCTTGCGACGCGGTCATGGCTTGTGCGGCGGCCGCGATGCTCCCGACAGATCGCAGCAGCTCCTCCTTCTCATTCTTCAGGTACATCTCGACGGTGTCGATGCACGCGGGCATCGTCACTGGCGGAGTCACGATGTCGTAGACGGTGAGCGGCTCCACCACGATGTTCACCATGACCTCCCTTCGCGTGCGTGGAAACACGCAGAAGGAAACACATATCCCCTGGCTCGGGTCGTGGCGACAGCTCACGGTGAAAGTGGAGGATCCGTAAATCAGAAGCTCCAGAAACGCCCCCCAGGAAAGGTTAAGCGTGTGCAGCGAGCAGGCAGCAGCCAGCGAGCCAGCTGAGCCGCTTCCCATGCCGTGAAAACAATCCTTGCAAACAACATAGCCTTTGACAAACAACACGTATGCCCCGTCCACATCCGTTCCAGGTGTGTGGAGCGACATGAAGGATTTCGTCAGTGCAGGAGGAAGCAAAGACTCACCTTGCCCAAACTCCGTACGCTGTATATGAGCATTATTAAAGTCTGTACAGGTCTTGACCCAAATGCGCTTATTCGCATGCACAATGAGTCGCACAGAGTCCCCCTCCTTTGCCCGCTCCGTCAGGAATTCCAGCAGTGTCTCATCCCCCTCCTTGTAGAAGGGAAGGACCTCGCGGGACTGGCGTACACTGTAGTCGGGGGCCGCCGCCGCGCCTCCAACGGTCTCTTCGCCTGGAAGGCCTCCGGCAACATACTCAAGGAAAACGGTGTTTACAATAATACTGTCCACCATCAGGTCATCGTATTTTTCATTGAAGCTCAACACTTCATGAGGAAACGCCACGCCTGTGTTCATCGACAACGTTTCGAGGCGATCCTCCGCCCGAGGTGAATGGGTGACAAACTGCATATACGCCCCACACTGGCGGGAGTCTGCAGACGACGCCTCCCCCCATGCGGATGGAGTGTAATCCTCCTCTTTCCTCTCCTCATCCTCTTCTGCTTCTTCTTCCGTACTATCCTCAGCCTCCCCACCGCCGCTACTGTCGTTGCCTCTTGTCGTACTCAGCGGAATGGGGTGCAACTCAGCACACCTCACACCCAAGTCAAACATGCAATGCGCCTGGAGGGCAAGATGATAGGCCGTCGCTGCACAGTTGAGCAAGAGCTCCTTGGCAATGGTTAACCGATGCTCGTCCGCCCCGCGGAGCAGGACGGCAGTGAAGAGCGCTACCTGCGGTGCTTTGAATATGCACACTGGCCTGTCCCCGTGGTGGACAACTTGAAAGCTCTCACAAGTCCCAAGCACGGAATCGTCATACAGGTCGGAAGCACCAATGTACTGCAAGTCAGAAATGATGCTTGCCTCGCAACAGCGTGAAAGACGTTGCAGAATTGTATTCCCGACGTGAAGGATGAGTGTAGCGTCGGACTGGCGAAGAATTTTATCCTGCAAGTAATGATGCATATTACCCTCTACAACAATCACCGAGGGTCGCCAAATATGGATGCGCTGGTACTGCGTATCTAGGTGGCCCTCATACCCCTCTACGTACTCCAGGAGGTTGGTCCTTGGACTTAGGGTGGTGCCTACGTCACCGGCCAAGAGAAGTAGACGCGGGGACGCCACCAAGGTTTTCATCCGCTTGAAGGCAATGTTCTGGATAAAGGCGACCCCGGTGACGATCTCCGTGTCGGCAAACTTCCCTCCAGGAATGCAAATAACTTCCAACCGTTGGTCGATGCGTTCATGTAGGACCACAGACAACTGCGACACCACATGCCACGATATGTCACACAACCCAGCAATCCACTGTACACGATCCATCCCCGCAATATCACCGCTTGAGGTCGCTAACGCCTCCTCCTTCATAAAAAGCCGTGAGACACGTTTTATCAAGTGGTACGAACACTGTGCCTCAAGCCTCTGCAGACTGCTTTTGGAAATGGAGTGAGAAAATACAGTGGCAAGGTGCCTCGACCAATGGCCAACGTCTGCACGACGGAAGGTCGCCTTTGGATGCGGCGTGTAGGTGCGGGACAAACAGACGATCTGCGACTGTTCTGGAGACTGCTTCATTTTACAGTTACGTGTTTTTTTAAACAGCTTAGCCACACCGTCAGCCACACTGTTTCGGCTATACATTGGGGTGTCTGTTAACCCGCATGAAATTTTCTGTTCACTCACATCTTCTGGATGCGTCGGTAGACAAGGCTGCCAAGATTGAGGCAGCACGCCGCTCAGGACTGTGCCACTCAACGACAGGAATTGATCCTCTCTGAGGGGTGGGGCAGAAGCAGGCGGCATGTCCAAGCTGCCTTCCAGTGGACGGGGCAACTCCATCCTCGTGTTTGCCCCCACTGACGCGGCATCTGCCGTCGTTGTGGTCGTCGTAGCGGCTGTGTTGGGGCGCAGCTTTCCTCCGCTGCCTCCCTCATGCGTCACCGCTGCCGCGTTTGCTGCCGTCGGCACTTCCAGCAGCCCCCTTTGTGGCGGAAGCACCCGCCACCAGCCTTGCTGTTGCCCCATACTACGCTTCCGCAGGAGGCGGTCGCACTTGTGACACAGCTTCACCAGCGGATCGCGATGCAACCCAACAAGAGACGAGAGCACACCTGTAAGAATATTCCCGAACCGTGACGTTGAGGATGTAATTAGGCACTCGCTGCAGAACACCTGACCGCAGTTGCGGCAGTGGTGGCGGCGCCGCATGACGTTGAAGCGGGCGTCGCAGCCCCGACAGCGCACCGCGTAGCGGTCGTCGACCCAAAGTGCCTGCCGCAACGTTACGTTTTTGCCCTGGCAGCCCCAACTGCGTTCCGCTTGTTCCTGCTGCATATCCATTTATCCAACTTGTGTGCCTCACCCACGCTATCGCCACCACTTTCTACCCCCGGTGCGGTGGCCTTGCAGTGCGTTCCTTGCGGGCACGAAGAGTAGGCGTGGAATGAAGAAAAAATCAACTTGGTTGCGCCCTCACCCCCCTGGAGAAACGGGCGTCTAGCACAGTCAGGCAGCCGCGGCCGCCCGTGCGGAAAACAACGTGGCGGTGACGCCCAACACACAAACAAACAAACAAACAAAGGGAGGCACACGTTCACCGCAGGAGGGTCGCCATGCACGCATTTCCCCACGCCGCAATCATGACGAAACAAGAAAAGGAGGGGAGAAAGGAAGGAAGGAAGGGGATGGGGGGAGTTGTGCGTATTAGTGTGGGCGGGGAGGCGGTTGTGTAGTGAAACGGAAAGAATAACATCCACCCTACCCCTCCCACTTTTCTCTCCACCCCACTGCCCCTCCTCTTCTCCCGCCTGAAGCAGCCATAGAATAACAACAGCAAGTGCTAAGAGCCACAGAAAATATAAATTTCACTTGAACATGTGGGTGTGTATGAATGCATACTCACATATGTCTGTACATCGAAGCACCGACAGTCATCCTCCCTCCCCGCGCCCCCCCAGGCGTCCGTGTAAACACGCAACAAAGCCGGAGAGCGAACAAAAGAAGAAACTGGAAAAAAATATTTTTTTCTTTTCTTTCCGTTTTGCTTTTGTTTTTGGAATCCATCATCGTCACATACCACCAGCTGCGCCAATAAAATAATAATAATAATCAAT